CACCCTGTGATACATCAAGCAAAATAAGGTTTCTTCAGCTGTCGGACACTGTGGGAAGTACCTGCATCATTGACTGCATTGCGCATCTCGTAGCTGTTAATGGTTCCTGAATGATCCGTGTCATAACGCTTGAAAATTTTCTGGAAAAAGAAAAAAATAAATACACAGCAGAAATAAAAGCTTGTACATCTTTTGAATGTACCCACTGACTGGTTATGAGGTGCGTGCCTCAGGCACTTGGAGGCTTTGCCATTTGCCTTACATTGCCGCTGCCAGGCAGCCTGGGATGTCGGCACAGAGCTTCTCTCAGTTGTAGAGTAAAATAATTTAGATCCGTACCACGAGAAGCAAAAAGCCCTCCCCTAGAGAATCTCCTTGTTTGACTTGAGTTTATGCTGTTAATCCTCTTTCTTGATTGCCCTAATTAAGCTATTTCTGAGGCCTGATTCTAGTTCCCATCCTCCTCCTCCAACTTGTATGCCTCTACTGTTCTCATGGGGGAAATTCTTATTTGAGTGCCTAGAGCTTCAGAGATTTAGCCTATTTGCTTAGGCTGTAAGCAGGATGAGGAAAGACATTACTTTTGGTTTTAGAAGCTAATTTGTCATTTCTTTTTGTTTTAGTATATGTAGAGAGTTTTGGGTTTAGTATCAAAGTTTTGTACTGCTAAGAACAGTGCTGTGGATACCAGTAATACCTGCCAGCTTTTAATCTTGTCCCAGAGATGTCGAAACTCATCAAAGTTTATCTTCCCTGAGCCATCTGTCTGTGATGCAAACGTTCAGGTAAAAAAAACCCACAATATTTTAAAGAGAAAATTAATTAAACCTGCAACTACTGATGAAGGGACAAATGTGAAACCGAGTTCAGGATCTTCTCGGCATTAACAGCAGCCTGAGTTGTGTAGTAAAATATTTGCGAACATTTTGGTTATTGTTCATAGTATTATGTTTGAGAACTGTGAAACATGGTTTGTACTTCGTGTAGAAGCAAATACCTGTCGCTCCTGGAGCTATTAACAAAGTACATAAGCAGGGTGTTTTACTGGGCTCTTTCCAAATCCCTCCAAATATGAAGCTTACCTAACATTTTTAAAAACAACTGAGTTTTATTGTAAAGCAAAGCTCTTCATGCTTTGCTTAAAATGAATTGAGGACTAAACAAAATGTTGAGCCATTTACAAAAATGTGTTTAGACTTAACCATTATGACTCTGGGTTGTAGTTAAAAGTTTGTTCTAGTTATGTTTGAATGTGCTCAAGTTCTCTCAAAATCATGTGTTACGTCAAATAGGAAGACTGAGTAATGTTGCATCAGAGGCAACCCCGTATGGCATCTTGTAGTGTTTTATTATACTTGCTCTGAGACAATTTCTGTATGTGTTGCGCGCTAAGCACACAGTGGAATGTATAATACATTATAAACTTAAGAGAAATATAGTAAGTTTCTTGGCAAGAACTGTAGTTATGTTGAGTTGGTTTAAAAAATCATTTTTTAAAAAAAATCATGCTTTAGTAAATGAGCTGGCCAGTCACTGATACCTAAGGAAGGGTATGATACCGACTGCTTATTCTTAGTTTTCTGGTTTGGGTTATTTTCATCTGCCAACTGCACTAATGTTGAGATGACTGGAGTCAAGATGTGCCACATCAGGAATGCTGTGTTATCTGACTACAGACTATAACGAACTGTTTTGCTTCCCTGTTTTAGTAAGTTGTGCATGTGTAGTGGTGGGAAATACAATCCAAGTGGACTAGCTTGGTATCAAGCACTCCCTGTTCACCAGAAAAGGATACATCCATTAAAGCAATCATGCTGCGGCAGGATTCCAGTTCAAATCCTTCTGTCTTTAGGTCCTTATCTGAAATAAATGATCCCAGGTGAAAACAGATCATGTAGGTCAGCAAGCGCTTCTTTGTTTTAGGTGTAACTACTCACAGTAGAAGCCAAAACCTACTTCCAGTAAGAAAGGAGTGGTAGAAAGATCTGAGAAGACTCTTAAGTAATGTAATTGCTTGTGAACTAGAGATGACTTTTCTTGACCTGTTATTTAAAATAAAAACCTCCAGAATATTCCAAACTAACTTCCAGGTAACGAAGCAAGCCCAGAGTCTTTAGGCTGAAGTTTGCTAAACAGGGAGAAAGGTTTGGCTCTTCATTAGAATTATTTTTGGTTTTTAAAACGCATTGCTATATTATCCTGTGCGGTGCTTCCAATGAACATTTGTGCATTTCTGCGTTATCAGTACTTGATCACTCATAGAGATCATCTCTATGAAAAACTCAGCTTGCTAAAGTCTCAGATGCAAAGTCCATGGAAGCGTAACTGGAAATCTGTGAGTCTGAAACCATAAATAATTTTTAGAGGGTAGCTCAGGGGTGGAAGGTTACGTTATATCACAGATTTCTTTGTCCAGGGTTACTGAAAAACATGCTCAAACTCACGTTTTTTTACGACATTATTGAGAACATTCCTGAGTTCCTCAGCATTGATCTCCATGTCCTGGTGGGAAATGTGGTGAGAATATAATCAATTACAATAGTCTGTATTAAACAGATGGGTGAATATACTAAAAGTACGGTTGTTTCTCAGTATGGCATATACATGCTTCAAAGAAGAGAGCATTCTAGTTCATATAAACATCAGTTCAAATCTTTCTTGAGGCCGCAGTACACAGGAGGTCTGAAGTTACCATATAGTGCTTATTAAACTACAACAAGAAGAACAACCAGTAATTTCAAGCCACCGTATAAGCCAAAAAAGCAAAATGCAAAAATCCCTGTAATGAATTTGCAGCCTCTTGATTTGTGCAGTTCTTTGACCTGTTTTTACTTCTAACTTCCCTCATTAAGCATACGCTGAAGGGCATTGCATTTCTAACTTGTGTATTCGTGCTATGCAAAATAGCATCTTGTAGTGGTGATAGAAGTAAAAGCCTGAATTTAAATAAGGCTCCCCCGTACACAATGGAAACAGTTTATATGTACACATGAGGATAGCTGTATACTTGATTGGATTTAGATTTGGGTTTGCTTAGCTTCAGATCTCAAAAGAAATGTGTCAGAAGGAAATTTAAAGGAAATTTTGAAGTTCAATGTTGTGAATCTGTAAAGCAGTTGATTTAGGTGCTGTTGTGGCTAGACTGCTCTGATGGCAGAGACAGGGATCGGTTGCATACTCACATCCCCTGCAATCTGTCGGAAAATATTCCTGAACTGTTTTTCCTCTTCACTCCCCTCACGAGATTTTGCTGAAGGACGCTGAAAAGAGAAAGCAAAGAGATAGTCTTAGCCCAGCGGGGAAGGGAATGGCTCACACGCCCTTGTGCAAGGGAGCCTCTTAGTCTTTTGAGGAACAGGTTGTCCTCCTGTTCTTTTCCCCTTTTTTTGGTTAAATGTGTTCCTTGGCAAAACTGCTGAGTATTTAAGTTCATTCTCTTGATTCCCTTTCTCTTGGAAGGAGCCTAGATGATTACTTTCACTGGCAAATGTTTATCTCCCAATTTTTGGTTTCAAAATATAGCAAAGGAGAAGTTCAGAGCAGAAGAGGCTTATCTGATCCATAGCTGCCCTGTAGGGTGTGAATTGACCGGAGGGACTGGGGCCTGAGAGCTCTTTGTGATGTGGGGATGCCCCTTGCTGGAGACAAGTGGCACGTGAGACAGAGGGGAATGATAAAAGTGAAGCTTTTTCAAACACATGCAAAGAGCAAGCCTGAACTTTGAGGCTGATACTGAAAAAGGAAACTGTATTTTGCCAGGAAAGGTTGGACCAGATGATCCTTGAGGTCCCTTCCAACCTGGTATTCTGTGATTTTATGATTTTACGTGTGTGTGTGTGTGTGTGTGTGCCCTGCCATTAAATTACAGGAATTAGTGTAACAAAGTAAATTGATTTTATCTGCTTAGTTTGGGGGGGATGGGGGGTGTGTGTGTGTGTGGAATTGTGTTAGTCTAAATGCAGAGGAAGGTTAAGATTGGTTCCCACTGTGCCAGTCAGCAGATGCTCAAGCTGTGCCTCCAGATGCCATGGGCCTGGCTGCAGGATCTGCCCGTTGCATCCCACACCCCTCACCCACCTGCAGGCAGAAGCTCTGAACTTGCTGCCCTGTTTTCCTCCTCTACAGCAGTGAGAGAAAAGAGGAGGGGTGCAGGAGTTCCTGGGTTTACCCACCCACTTCTCCTTTGACCGATGGGGACTGGTGTCCCTACACCTCCCTAGACGTGTAATTTGTCTTGGGGAGAGGCTGCGATCATTGCCAGGAGCTCCTCAAGCCCCTCGGGTGCAATTTATGTGTGTGCCTGGTGTAAAGCAGGTACCACTTCAGGAGGCTGAGCAAGTGTGGCTGGAACTGTGCTGCTGATGGGGAAGGGATCTCTCACAGCTGGCATCCTTGTCTACCAGAGCAACCAGGTGATGTTTTCAAACAACTAAATCCTCTAGCACATGTGTTAAATAACTGAAGGGATAGTCTCTGTTGTTCATGCTCATTAGATCCACATAAACCAGATGCAAGTTATGCTAAGATTTGATGAAAAGCTGTTAAGTATCTTAAATGCCTCAGCTGTCAACTATCTTGCCCCATTGCCCTGCTCTCCCCAGCCACTCTTTCATGCTAGCCAGACCAAGCTTTATTTTCCCCTGCAGAAACCTTTTTCTCGTTTGTGTGGGTTTTTTCACCATCTTTGTCAGCATCTTCATCTGCTGTCAGCTCCTTATTGCTGTTTGCTCTGTCAGAAACAAAGATGATAGGCTAGAAGAGGAAGAAGGAAGAGACCAAAAGAGAAATGGAAATTACACAATAAAAGAGTAGAAGCGAAAATATTTGGCGACAACCATTCTGTGGTAAAGCACATGCAGCAACAGCCCCTGAGACTGTGACCAGAGCAGCCAGGGCTGGGAATGAAAGAAAAGAAAGAAAACAGAGGTAAGGAATTTCTGAAGTTACTACTCGCCTCATGTTAAAAAAGCTGCAAAAGTCTTTCTGCAAAGCAATGCAAAAAAAAAAAAAAATCTCTTGCTTCTAGCTTTGCTTTTCAGAAAGCCAGTAACAGTTTAAATGTTTCGTGTTGAGTTCTTTGGGGGGTTGATTTTTGGGTTGGTTGGTTTGTTGTTTTTTTTTTTTAATTTAGCAAAATAAGCCTCCCAGATTCTCTTGTCCCTCTTGATGAAGGACAGTAGCACTGAAAACAAACAGAATCTGAATCCTACACAGAAAAGGAGTATATGTGTAGGAGCGTTTTAGTATTGCAAAGCATATGTTCTGTCTCTGTATTAATTCTCGAAGCATTCAGCCATGTGCAATTGCTCTGTTTTAGTGCATTTAAACAAGGAAAGCCGCTACAAGACGTGTTACCCTGGATTATTAGTTGCAATCAGCCCGTTTTGGGATTAAAATGTCTATTTACATCTTCAAGGTCCTAAATGTGTTGTGTAGAAACAAAAGGAGAATTGTGGATTTCGGTGAGCAGAAACTTCAGGAAAGAGGTGTAGCGGCATTAGGCAATAGAAAGCAAGTGTGAGGGCGTGTGTCTGGAGAAGGGATGCGTCTCACTAGAAAGGGCTGTCAGAGTGCCTGTGGAGAGGCAGGCAGGAAGGGCAGTCTGAGCAACTCAGAGGATCAAGCTTATAAAGCTGAAAAGTTTCTATTACCCTTTTGCCCACTCCCTTGAGTGAGAGTGGTATGTGATGCTAATGCTATTTCATTAGAATTTACTGTAGGAAGACAAAATCTTCGCTTCCTGCAGATGGCCTCTTATCCAGTGCCCCTTCACTAACTAGATTAGTTTCCAGATGCAGAGAAAGCACCATACCAAGGAGCTCTGCTCCTCCTGTATGCATTGCACATGCTCTTTGCCATGCTGGCACTCAACACATTGCACAGTTACCCACCTTGCCCTTTTTCCTCTTCTGTACAAAAAAAAAAAAAAAAAAAAAAGTAGTTTTAAACAGAATTATAGATTTTACCCGGATTATGCAGAGCTGATGAAAAAAGTAAAACTTTACCTCTTACTCTCTCACATTTATTTTTCTCTTTCCATGTCCATACAGGGTTTTCTTTTTCCCATTACCTATATTCATAGTTTTCAAATCTCCAAAAATGAGGGAAGATGCACCCGCCAAGAACTAGCATACTGAAGGACAGCAATTGCAGAAACCATAGCAAAATAGTGTCCTGTCTCATCTGGGGCTTTGTCAGCTGCCATAAAATCTCTATTGTATCTTTAGCTCTGACTATTCCTTTTCTTTTTCCCACCTGTCAGTGAGGTGGAGATTGATTTGTGGGCACAGAGGTACAATGTTATCTGGTGGCAATCAAATTCCACCAGATCTGGACAGATACTTTGTTATTGTGACAGCAAAGAAAAGGAGAGCACTTCTGAGCAAGGTTTGGTGGAGCTCAATTATGTGCAAGAGCATTTCCTCTGATTTTTTTTTTTTTCAAAATTGTTAGCTCTACTGTATTCCCACAAACATGTGTAAAACCTCAGGGTGAATGAAGGGTTAGAGCTTGTCACGGATGCTAGTTTGAATCGGTATCATTAGGATCCTTTTCCAGAAAGCAATGATCTGAGGAAAGCAAAAAAAAAAACAAAAAAAAACCCCAAAGAAATATTGACAAAGTTGTGAGCCCCATTAAACAATGTTAGCTAGATAACATTCTTACAGAAAACAGGATAGATAGTAAACTAATCCCTGTTTTTGAGATCAAGGGGGAGACATACCAGCTAAAGGATGACCAATTCCTGCTAACACCAAGGATTTACTTCCTGTAATATCTTGATAGACACAAAAGTTCCAATTAACAAAACAAACAGGTAGAACTGACTCTACAACCTGGAGAGCATGTCCAGGAAGCAACGTTGAAAAGTTCATGAAGAGGAAGGAGTCTTACTTCATCCTGAAGACCCTTGAAGAGCCCGGCCCACCCTCACCAGGAGGCACTGCGCAGGTGCAAAGAAGACGGACATGGAGGAGGGGGGCAAGAGGGGAATTTCTCGGAACTAATTGTAATATTCCCTCCTTATCTTCGGAATCCTAATGCATACGTAACATTTCAAACAATAAAAGGAGCTGGGTTTTTTTGGCTCCCGGCGTGCACATTTGTGGCGGAGGGATCCCACGTGTGCCTGACGTCGTAATAATCATACTAATTTATAACTCTTAGTGAGTTGTAGAGTTTGATTCCATGCCTCAGCAAGTACTTCAAAATAAGGTACTTTTTTCTTTATTAGAAGAGATACGAGTTTCACAATGAAAATATCTTGGAGAACAGACCTAGGCCTCTTCTGGTAAATGCATAATATCCACTGATGGAGGCAAAGGCAATGCTTAGCATCCAGCTGCTTTATGCCAAGAGCAGATTTCAAATCTGGCAGAAGACTTGGGTCTGACTGAATCAGAAAATAGTGTATAGAAAGCAAGTGTTAATGGAAGTACCTTAATGAGAAAAAAGTGAGGGTATTGATGCTAAAGGAGCCGTCACATGGCTGCAAATGGTTTCCTGCTGTAGGTTTCCCTAGAAGTGATGCTCCCCCTCTCCCTACTCCTATTCATGTACAAAAGAGGTGCAGGACAGTACTTACTGATGGACGCTCTGCCTCAATCATGTTTTCAGCTTCCCTAGAAGAAAGCAAAAATTAAATAAATTAGGAAAGAGACTGTTCCCGACCTTACTTGTTTCTGTAGCTGGTTTATAAGCAGCCACTTGAACTTGCCAAACAGCCAGTGGTGTGGGCTTGCTTCCAGGCATTACAGCTGCTGGCTCTAGTTGTAGCTTTTTCCCAGTTGATGCTGAGCATCCCAAGTACCACTTCCAGGAGGACGGCTGCCTGGTTTACTGCTCTAAAGAGCCTCGATAACACTGAACTTTGACAACTGGGAGTAAAACAGAAGCTGTTTGGCCTAATAGAGTGACACGGGCTGCAATTTGCTGAGCTCTAAGAAACTAGTTGAAGAGCAGGGTGGAAAAGAACTACCTACCTACTTCTGTGTTTAATTCATGACTGGAATTAGATCTATCTAGCCAAAACTTCAGCCAGTGGCATATAGCAATAAAATGGAACAGGTTGATTTTCATTAATAAAAATGGCTAATGATATGTTTACAAAGGATATCCTGCAAGCAGTGAGCTCCTCCAAAGACAATTCAAAGCAGACCCTTGCTTTGGGAAGCTCAGGGAAATGAGTTTGCAGCTTGGAGTTTCTAGAGAGGTCAAGAAAATTAAAAGCAGGGCGTAGCAAACTGGGAGCATGACTATAGTAGATTAGTGAGCTCACCTCCACCTTTATGTCTGATAAGTGGAACTGTAACTTACTCTGACAGATTTCTTTTCTCTGAGAAGACCCTCAGGATGAATTCTCCCTCCTGGTGGGGTTCGTATGTTGACGGGATGACGACATACTCGCTGGGAGGTAACCGGAAGCGCTCAGAGATTTCTCTCATGTTTATATAGGTCTTACTTCTAGCTTTGGAGGCATTGTAGAGGAAAAAATCCTTTTGCAAGTGGTGCTTAGTACCGTGCATCTGCAGAACAAATTAATCAGTTTGTCTTCAGGGAAGTCTTACACGTTCTCGAGGTGGCTTGTCATGCGGGCAGTACATGGTTGGGACAGAAAACACAAATGAAGCAGCAGCTTAGCAAGCAGGGAGCTGATGAGGGATGCTAGCTGGGAACAGATAGGGAGTCTGTCACCTTTGAGTTGCTACTTAAGGGTCTAGCTGGCTTCTGAGGGTTACTCCAGGGCCCACCTGCAGACTGTTCTGCTGGGTAGGCACTTCTATCTGACTGACTTGTTGGATGTTAAGTCGTGTGTAACCAAAGTTCAGCTACTTTCCTTGGAGGGTGGCATGGCAAGGAATGGTATATACAAAGTCCTACAAGCAGTGTGGTGAGGTGAAGGTGCTTTTGTTGGGAACGTGTCCTTGCCTGGGGAAAACGTGAATTCTGTATCTGCTAAAGAAACACATTAATCAAACGTTGTATCAGTTCAAATATGAACACTAAGTCAAGAATTGTGCACTGAGAAGACTTGCAGGCTGTTTTCTGCAGAAATAACCACCTGTAAAACAGTCAGCAAAGACAACATTCAGGCTGTCATCTTCATGTTTTCCAGGTAACATAGCCTTCGGGTGAGCTTGTTTGTAAAACTTGAGATGCCAATGATTCAGCTACTGGCAGGCTCAGAAAAACTTAACTTGTGTACTTTGAATATGTTTTCTTCAATGGCTGAAAATACCATTGATTTTTCCAGACAAATTCTAAGACGATAGAGAAAAAACTGTTCCTGCAGGATATAGGCCATTGGCATTATTTGCAGGAGGAAATGGAAGTGGTTTAGGGTGGTTCTCCATGGAGTGCAAAGGCAAAGTGCTGGCTGATGCTGCGTCCTGCAGCCTCGGCTCACTGGCTGACCGTGCAAGCCGTGGCCAGGTCTCATACAGAATAGAAAAGAAGGACTGAGGAAAAGGTACAAGTGAAAATGGGGTGTGGGTGAGAAGGAACTAAAAATTACTTGGGAAATGTTACTAGTAAACACTCAAAACAGAAAGGTTAGCAGTTTCACTTCTGTGTTACATCCCTGAAAACAAATTTGACTGGACAGTTTCCTGCTGACTTACAGACAGGCACAACAGTAACACTAGCTGTGAGTATACACCAAGATGTCAATCTGCCTCCGTTCTGCTCATACCTCTTTGGGCACCTTAGGGAGAAACAGAGAGAAGAATCAGTCAGAGCTGCTAGGTGAGTCCACTTGTTTATAGGTCATACAGAAGGGCATTCACATAGATTTCTGGGTTCACAGCCAGTAATTAAAATGCCCCAAGTTAGAAAAATATTCTAAGCAATTTCCCTCTTCCTTTCTAGATTTCTTGGGTTCTACATGAGATCCACTAAGATCTGAATTAAATGTGTTTGTGCAAGGGACTGTGTAAATTGACTTCATGAAGTCAATAGCAAGGGTAGAGGTTAATCACTACGCATGGGTCCTGGATGACTGTTTCTTTCTTTTACTTCATTCTGACAATTAAATATTTAATTTCAGCAAAGATGAAAGGGAGACTGAAAAATATATGTGGAAGAATGTTAAAATCTGGCATTGAGACCCTATACAAGCGTAAAAAGTGTATTACTTATGGATGGGGTAAAACCTGAGGTCACTATGGTCTGAATTGTTACAAAGCCTTGAATTTCCTTCTTCTGTTCCAGATTTCCCCTGAGTTCCTTGCAAAGTAAAAATTGCAATTCATGTAATTAGGCTAAATTATTCAGTGACTCTCTTAGTAAATGCATACTGTCAGGATTTGTGACCATGGTGCAAAGGACAAAGTCTAGAGCTGGTACCTCATAGATGGCAAAGCCAATGGTGTACAGGTTGGCTCCTAGCTTGCGTTCTTTCCTCCTATTTTTCTGCATCAGTGCGACGAGGAAGCTGCAGACAACTTCTTCATCCTCAGGGTCATCATCTTCCTCCAGGAGTTTCAGGCGATACTGGGGATTGGTCCAAAATGTATCTGTGAAATCCCACCAACAACCCAGAGTGAACTTGTAAAGCTTCAGTTTTCTAATGATACTCATGATCAAAGAGAACTTTTAAGTTCCCTGCCCATGGCTCCCAAGGGAAAGGTTGAAATTGGCTAATATGTGTATATATATTTTTTGCTGTATTATGGGTTTTACGTAGTTCTAAGAAAACTGCACAACAAAGGAGGATAATGAAGAACTGTCATCTGACAATCTTCCAAAGCACCTAAAACTATAAGAAAGTGGATTTCTCAATTCAAATCTGTTTGAGTGAAGTTTATCTCTCTTATCTTGGGGCAGTGAAGCATCTGAGCAGTGACTTTTCCTTGCCAGGCCTACCTTTTGGGCTTACAAGGTGCTGTCACAATCATAGTGACAGAAGATTTCCAGCTATAAAATCGTGTGCCTTGTCCACTGAGGAAGCAAGGCTTTTCCTACGGCCAAGCATGGATCAGGCTGTGGGATCTCATGCAGTCCCCATCAAAGAGGCCGTATCTCTCAAGACCCATTGCTCACCTGGGTAATTGCGGCAACCTCCAGCTGAGCAGCCTCTCACCCAGCGCCCTTCATTGACGGACACCGTCCAGGTTTGGAGTTTATCAGCTTCCAGAGTATCAGGTGTGAGGTTACAGATCTCGAGTTTTGTAAAGTGCCTCATGAAATCTTCAAATGATATCCTGGGGGAATTGAGGGGAAACTGAACCCAAATGGATATACATGGTGGGCGGTTGTCCAAAAGATCCTGGTGAGATGGAGGAGGGTGACCACAACGATACTGCCACTATTAGAGCAAGTTTGCAGTGGGAGCACCATGATTTCCTAATGCATTTGGCCTGCTGGTTGGTCAATTAACACAGCAGGTATAGCTCCAAAGTGGGGGAAACTGGGCTGAGAAGATGGTACATAGGAAGGGTGATGGAAAGCTTGTGGAATTGTAGCATAATTAGAAGGACTGTGCTGGTGGCACTCAATAAACCCTGGTGGGAAAAGGAGGGGATCACAGAGCAGGGTAATATGAAAGGAAACAGGGATTACTGCAATGACTTTAGAAGATTTAAGTAGTACAGTGTGATTAATTTTTGCTATGGTTGCATATCTCCTAGAGAAGCACAGGTTTTTGACTGATACTCTCACCAGAACTCCCCATCCTCCACGATCTTGTGCTGCAGGCGGATTTTCTCTGTTTCATTAATGAAGTTCCATTCCTCTGACCTTCAAAAGAGCAAACAAGATAGATTACTATTTGCAATACAGTTTTCATTAAAATTTCTACTCTTTACTGTAGGCCTCATACAGTGAAAAGGCAAGAGTCATCTTGCTACATCTATATAATTTTTCCTTTGTGAGCCTTGCAACCATTTATTCTCAATGCTACCTTCCTCCTCATATACCCAAATAAAAAAGCATTTACCCTACCTCTCTCTGTCTTCCCTTCAGAGTTCCTCCTAGCAGCTCTCAAAATCTGCTGAAGTCTCTTTATTTTATTTAGCTTGAAGAAAAAAAGTGTTTACAGACTCTCACTGCTGGAGTAGCTATTGAAATTACTTTTAGTAAAGCCTAATGAGAAGCTTTATCCAGACTTGCACATGTACTGACATCTTGCTTCATCCAGTTCTTTCATGGCTTAAAAGATTTTTCTACTGTCACATCTTGATTTGAAAATGCATGTTGCTGAACTTGCTAGACAATAAAATCTAATTGACTGTGCTATCGGGCTGGGGTGTCTTAATTTCTATTGATTAAAGTCCCTCTTAACATCTTTTTTTAGGTATTCTTTGCTTATTACAGATTCAGCTAAGCACTCACCTGTGATCAAGTTCAAAGTGCATGTGTCAAAATTACAGCAAAGACAATTCAGACATGTCATCATTAAATGTTTGGTTCATGCACAAGCTGCATGAAGGCAAATTAAAGTTGCAATTGTTTCAAATCACGTGAAGCTCCATTTTACTCACTTGTCACTCCAAGGTCCGTTCCATTCCACCTGCCCCCAAGGGTTTCTCAGCCTTACCAGACGTATTTTTTCCCCTTTAAATGTTGTCTAATTGAAAAAAGAATGCAACAAGAATAGACTGAGAGTAGATTAAAAAGGAAACATTCTGTCTGTCAAATAGCTGATGCCAGCTCCTCCAGTGATGATGCTTTCCTGGGCCACATGCCCAGCCTGACCCACTTGGGGGAGTACTGGAAGGCTGTAAAACCAAGAGGTGGTCAGCTGTGGCAACCTTTGCCCAAGCAGTTGAATATCTACTTCCCCAGAAAGTCAAAACTTGGACAGGTTTATTTCTCCACAAGGCTTTCATTTATTTAAATATAAATTTTGTTTCCTTAGCTCATAAATTTGTTTGACTTCCCCCATCCTCATAGCTCTGCTTGACATGCATTGTGCTAGGCCAGTGCAGACCACAGCTCCCCACAGCTGGAGGAACAGGGCTGTACATACCTCTTCCACAGCCGTGACAGAGTAGGCATGACCTTTGACGAGCCCGCAAGACATCCGGGTTTCATACTGCATCGGTACTATGGTCTGTTAGACACACAATAAAAACTTATAAGAGTCATGCAAAGCTCAGCTGGCTGCTCTAAGGCAGGTATTGCCACCCAGGGCTTTTGGAGGGAGGATGACACTGTTGAGGTTTCGGAGTTTCTTGTTTTGTTCTCTTCTTTGTGTTTGCCAAGGTGACCAAGCTTAGTGTCTGCAGAATTAATGTTGTTGGTTAGAAAGGAGTGAAGCATGAACTAAAAAAGCGAAAAGCTAATAATATCAATTGGAAAAGACATTTTGTGATTTACTTTTTCCCTTTGTGTAGGTTACTGCATTTTGCACTCGCAACATGCTAGTGTATAGGACGTTTTATCAAAATAATTAGATTTTCTAGTAGTAGGACTCTTCAGCCCTTTCTTGGGATAGTATGTTCCTGTATGGCTCGATAAGGTTATTACATATTAACTAGAAACATCCGAGCAGATCAGCACCTAAAAGAATGCTTTAATCTTTACACGTGGCTGTTATCTTACCACAATGGAATTAAAACACCTGATTTAATACACTCTTCCTACTAACTTAATTAAAAAAAAAAAAGAAAAATCCTGTGGAAATGTACATTTTATTCCGTAATCATTAAAATCCTCATGATTGAAATTTTTTCCAACTGACGTTCAGGAAGGGCATAACTTTCTCCAGTAATTTGTTGCTCTGTCTTGGTAAGCAACTGTGAGTGTGTCTTACAGATTTTTATTTGCAAATCTCAGACTGCTGTTTGTCTGGGAGATTGAGAATTGAGAGCAAAAGGGCAGGTGCACGCAGCCTACTGTACTTGCAGGAGAGATCACTGAGAACGGTGGGAAGGGAAGGCTCTGCTATGTGCAATGTGGACCATGTGCAAAACTTTCCCCCCCCTCCATTATGTCTGTCACTGAGAGGTGACCGCAAGGCCCTGCCAGTAACTCTGCCATCCCTTCCTGACGCATCTGAGGGCATGAAAAAGGCAGGGATAGAAACAGAGAATTAGTAAGGTCACACAGATACATTCTCAGCTTGCACAGGGAGGATCTCATCCAAATATTTCCTGGCTGTCGCAATTATTTTTTTTTTTTTTTTTTTTTTTTACTTGCTCCTGTTTTCATACTTTTTATGCCTATAACCTCATATCTATATCCTTTTTTCTTTATTTCTGTTCGTTTTGTCGCCATCATTACATGCCAGAACCTCATTTTCTCCTTTCTGTTTAAGAATATTATTTTCTGCTGGTGCCCTGGGGCACTTTTCTGAAGTGCTTCTGAAGCCTGCACTACCTGCCTCTTTTTGTGAAGAGTCATGATTTTTTTTTCTGGTGATGACTCAGAAATGTGTAATAACTGGCAGCAACTACAGAAAGAGTCTGGCAACCTTCCTTCAGCAGACAGTCACTGGGGAGGAAATTCCCTCCAAAACATGGGTGATTTGGGCAGCCATGCTTGCAAAATAAGACAGTCATACTAGGCTTTCTTGAAGAATTACACAATTTCAGTCCTTTAGGAAGACTAAATATGGGTGTCAAAAAAGGAAAAATCATCTATTTCTGCTGTAAATGCAGAAGACAGTTTGCACAACCAAAATTTTTAGATTATGTAATTGTGGAGGTTTTGGTTTTCTCTGTAAATCAAGATGCAAGTTCATTTCCATTGTTATGGAAATGCAGGTCCCTAGAGGGCAAGGTATGACAGCTGCCTGACAGAGAGAAGGAGAAGGTAATGAGTCCTTCCACAGATTTGAAAGCTTTTAAGTTTACCAATATGGGTTTTTTTTCTTAAATTGTTTTAACATACCTCCCTTTATTTTGCTAGACACTTAGGTATGCTGGAGTTACTTTGTATTTCATCACATATGTAAAACTCAACATGTTTTTCCTTTTCCTTGTTAGGCATTTTAAATGAGGAACTTAATGGCAGTAATCTAAAAGAAATATCCCGAGTGCAGCCTCCCCTCCATTTGTGGGCAGAGCTCTATAGCACTCCGTCTCAAAATAAGTTCACCGAGTGCTTTTGTGCCTGGCTTGCTTTTTTTTTTTCCTTTTTTTTTTTTTTTTTTTTCATTTCACATCCCCCCCACAGTCAGGGATCTTGTTCAATTCAAGTATTTTAATTTTCTTGTTCTCTGCATCCTTTGCAAGTGAGGGACTTGAAAAAATCCACTGATCATTCCTGTTCTGGAAATTATAAGCCTGTGCCACAAGCCAACGATCGTTTCCATCAGCAAAGCCCTCTAGTGTTTGAAAGTGCTGAAGTCTTTTAATACAGATGTCAACTAGCATTCATAAGAACATGTCTTTAGTGTTGGGATAGTTCAATGAAGCCAAATAAGGATTTAAAAGCAGAGATTGTATGTTTCTCTAACTGCCCGTAAATAAAAGCACTGTGAAGTCAACTGCTTCTGGAGACATACGAACCCAGGCTGGCCTCTCATCTGTCCCCTGGTAGTCTACAGTGGAGTGAGTCATCTGTGCGTTTTCTAGATTCTTCACCATCCGAGCGATCAGTTCCCCAATGTCACTTCGAGGAGCTGATCCATAGGAAAAGCCTAGGTTATCCTGGTACAGAGAATGGGAGAAAAGTGTCACGCACAAAGATGAGGCAGGGAGAGAGAAGAGAAATGATACAAGAAAGGTGAGTGGTAAAAGATAGCCTAGACAACTTCTCCCTCATTATCTCCATGCTTATCTACAGTGGTTGATAACACTGGTTGTTCTTCTGCCTCTACTGCAATTTATACTCCATAATAGTTATTGAAACTATTTTTTTTAACTTTTACCGCAATAAATGAAAACAATCTAAGGCTACGCTGGCAGCCAAAGGGTGAATTTCCTAAGTGTTTGAAGGCTTAACATCTTTGACGTGAAGACTTGTGTCTTCACAGAGTTGCAGCACCCCCATACTAATCTCATTTTACCAGGTGAGGGCACTGAGGGTGGGAGGTGCTGCTTTTGCTGATTGCACCCCTTCTCTCCACCTCCATGTTCTGCTTCTGTTTGTTTCCCTTTTGGCACTTGCTCTTTGCTAATGAGTGCTGTCTAGAGGAGATCACTCCAGCTCCTAGAAATGGATGTTTGCTATGTGGACTAAATCAAGCAGTTCCAGAAGGTGACATATGTTTGGTTACAGATGGAAAGATCCCTTGCCTCTGTCATTTCTTATGGCTCATCTGCAAAGTTCATATGGACTCACATCAATGGAGCTGGCCATGAGGGATCCTCTGTCAATGGCATGTTTCATGATTTTATATATATCTTTAGGGGCATCTTTTATCTCATAGAACTCTGTGACTCCTCCAGTGAAGTCCTCCATGGCTTCAGTGGTGTTGCCTCCTTTCAAAGCTTCATATGACCCATGGAGTCTTGAAAAGAGAAAAGGAAGAGATTTCTGTTTACACAGCTAAATATAACTACCTATATATTTATATCTATCTTGTGTGTGTATCCTAGAATGGTTTGGACCTTAAAGACCCACCTAGTTCCACCCCCCCCCTGCCATGGGCAGGGGCACCTTCCACTATCCCAGGTTGCTCACAGCCCCGTCCAGCCTGGCCTTGAACACTGCCAGGGAGGGAGCAGCCACAGCTGCTCTGGGAAACCTGTGCCAGTGTCTCACCACCCTCACAGGGAATAATTTCTTCCTTGTAATATATAATCTAAACCTACCCTCTTTCATCTTAAAACCTTTACCTATCCCTACACCCCCTGATCAGGAGTCCCTCCCCAGCTTTCCTGTAGCCCCCTTTAAGCACTGGGATGCTGCTGTAAGTTCTCCCCGGAGCCTTCTTTTCTCCAGCTGAACACCCCCAACTCTCTCAGCCTGTCCTCACAGGGGGGTGCTCCAGCCCCTGATCATCTTTGTGGCCTCCCCTGGACCCGCTTGAGCAGGTCTATGTCCTTCTTGTGTGGGGGCCTCAGAGCTGGACACAGCTCTGCAGGGGGGGTCTCACAAGAGTGGAGCAGAGGGGGAGAATCCCCTTCCTTGACCTGCTGGCTACACTTCTCTTGATGCCGCCCAAGATATGGTTGGCTTTCTGGGCTGCAAGCACAGGTTTCTGGCTCATAGTCAGTTTTAAAGTATCAATAAAGTATAATAAAGTATATTAAAGTATAAATATAGATATGTAAACACGTACTAAAAAATCCCACAAATCATTTGTTTGGTAACCCACAAGTTAAATGTGCCACCTGCAACACACACACAAAAAGATATGTCGAGAATCAAATGTAGACCTCTAAATGAGCAGTAAAAGCCCCCATAAAGTACATTTTACCCTATCCTCAATTCTGAGGCATGAGAATCTGTGGGAAAAGGCTCTGGTAAGTTCAGAGTCTCTCTACGTGGTCATTTTAAGTCCTGTACGCAGCAATTTAACCACCTCCCCAGCCAAAGCCTTGGCGGGGAGCCCGGCACCATCTGGCAAGTTCTTTTACTTTGCGTAGGCCTTTTCCAGGAGGGCACTCCAGAACTCGTTGCGCTGGGAGGACTTGGTAAAGACCAGCTGGTTGTTGTACGTGGGTAAGCAGTCATCGATGATGACATCCACCCAGTCTCCATAGCGCCAGAACTGCATAAAGACAAACAGAAAAAAAACCCTGGGTTGACTTGGTGCATGGAGGGGGAGAAGAAAAGCCAGTCTGAGAGAGGGGAAATGTGGAAATTAACTGCTTCATGTGGCAAAAGGTGATGGCCATTGGGAGGGAGCCAGCCATGCTGAATTTCTCTGGGCAAAGTGTGCGGGACAGTGAGAGGGGAGAGCCAAGGGGAATGTGGAAAGCAGTCAGTCTTTTCTGAATAAGTGGTTCTTCAGTAACTTGTTTTTGACAGACCAGCTGCTTGTGGGCCTAAAAATAGAAGCTCTTGCCAACTGCCCACGTGTCAGTGCTGGCTGTAGCACTGCATCTGAGCAGCAAGGCAGGACCCGGCACCTGCTGCCATCCCTTTCGTGCAGGGGACAGCGATCTGCAAATGCTTCCTTGGTGGGTTAAGGCTCCCTAGTGCCTGTATAGCCTGGCCCTTCTGTGACTGCCCTGTTGGACAAGTTTGGGGTGAGGCAATTCAATCCCTCTTCCTTCCTTGCTGTCACTCACACTGCCAAAGGGTGGAGAAGTGAGAGGGAAGAGTGTGCTGAGAGCCAAGTTCTCTCAGGAAAATACAGTTACGTCTGCTTCCTGCTAGATGAAGGGACTCACCTGGAAGTGAAAGATGCCAGCATAATTTTGTATAAAGGACTGGTCATGAGGTATGACTCTACAGAGTAGCTTTTTATTCAGTGTCAGGCAGGCAATGGCAGCCAGGAACCAGCAGTCACCTGCAAACAAGGAGAAGCAGCAGAGAAAATGAAGGGACAAGGCAACTAGAATCAAAGGAAAAACCTGAGATACCGCAAAGTGGGATGTTAATTCTCAGTGGAGCCTGCCACTGTCTTTCAGGAGAGGGTTCTGCAGTACTTTAGCATTTCATTTATTTGTGCTCTGGAAATGTTCGTTGGCATCATTCCTGGCTAGGTACATGCCTGTTAAATAGAAGATATTCCCTGGTATTTAGAAAAAAACTAAAATCTGATGAGCGCTGTTGCTTATGTTAAGATTTCCCTGTCCCATGCAAATGCCTATCTGACTTCCTACATCAGTTTTCCTTCCAAGCTTAGGACAGAGACCAGCTGAGAGATAAATCCGTGGCAGATGGAGCTCTGTACAGATGAGGTTCAGTCTCTCATTTTTGCTTTTCTGCTTTCAGGATAACCCACTGTCCCAATCATCATTCTGTGGGGCCTCTTTCCTTCTTCATTTCTCTGACACGTTTTTCGCTTTTTGAATCTGTGTCTGCACTGTTGTAAACACTGTCTCCTTTAGCACTTTTCAGTTTTTCCTTCAGACTCTTGCACATGTTTGCTGCCTCTGTGGGATCTCTGGGAAGGTGACTTTCTCCCGTAGTACTTCTTTGTTCAGGAAAGGATGCCTCAACCCTTAATTAAGACCTCATAGCTGCTACTGTAAGAGAGGTTATTGGGTAAGCTTGCCTGAACAGTGTGAATTGGTGAGGTGAAAGAATTATACAAGGTAGTGAAAACTAAACCTAGTTGCACAGAGTTGTGAAAGAAATTTATGAAACTGGCATATATATTTTGGAAAGCCAAGTCTATACATATAGCAATACATTCTAAGTTACTTATTTCCCCTTAGAAAAGATGTGGAGTCCACTGTGACCAGTATTTTTCTAAATCATCCAATGGTTGGCAGTGGTCAGAAAAGTAAATAATGATATAAGTAGTTGGGGAAGGAATGGAAACCAAAAGAGAGAATGTACTGTGCATGCAAATTCATTTGTGTCCACACCTTGACAGCTGTGAAGTTCTGGTCATCTCTAAAAGAAAGTTTTAAATAAATGTAAAAAATTTTAAAATAAATGTTAAAAAAAAAAAAAAAAGTACTGGGAAGGTGATGAGGACAGTTATAAGCACAGAACATCACTTAAACGAAAAGATTAACACACATTAGGATGTATTAGCATAGGAAAAAGATCACAGGAGAAGTGAAAAACATGGGAGACCTGAGTGGGGAATGACTTTACAAAGCAGTGCGGGTGAGAGCCGCATGGACGACTGTTGCAAAGGCATCGTTTGTACCTAAGTTAGCAGCTCTATATATCAAAGTATCTTTGAGCATCTGAGCTTAAGTTCTTCAATATAGAGGTTGTCCTTAAGTACAAGGCACACTTAACTGCAGGCCTTCAGAAGCTCCTGTGTGGAAATAACAGGACTAAACACCTGAAAAAATACAACAGTAGCTGATTAGGTTTTTCTCTCAATCAGATAACTCCTTCTCTTTATCTCTTATTCTTGTCTTAACTAGTTTTGTCCCTACTCAGAGCCTGAAACACAAGCCAAATGGTGGTTTGTAACACACTCTTGATACTAGTTCACGAAAAGCAAAACACCCTTCAAAGCATCATTTGCTTAAAGTTCTTTCCTAGATTACTACTAGGCACGTATCAACAATTTACTATAGAGAGAAGGAATCAGCAGATGTGTAGTGGTATAGTGAGACAGGGGATTTCAAATATCACCTTGACAGCAAAATCAAGTGAGAGCTAAACTATGATGCAGACTTGAAAAATTGCAGAAGTGGAGTAAGAATTTCATACCTAATTCTCCTTGGCAGATATCTGTTCTGTTGGCTCCACCGATAATAAACCGTGGATTCTCACATATTTCCTACAAAATATAAACAGATGGATGAGCAGGAGAAGCATGCATTATGATGTCTGTTTGCCGCAGAAATAACAGCTGGTTTAGGACAATGCTTTCCTGTAGGATAGTTTGTGGATATTAAAATCTCTTGCAGAGCTTTCAGCTGCAGAGTAATGTTCTGGAATCTGGATGTTCCAGGCTTCAGATAGAGTTTGCTCCATGTATCTACAGGGTTTAATAGCCAGCCTGGGGGGGGTGCCTCTGTATGGGGTGCAAACACATTAAAATAAGAAGAACAGGGAAAATATTTTTCTACAAAATAATGGGAAAAAAAACCCAAACCAGAACACTGGAGGAGATGGAAGAGCGGGTAGGTGGAAGGAGCATAATTTTAAATTCTTTAAAAATGACTGCAGGTTTAAGGTCTCCGATTTGCAGTATCTAATATGCTGGGGCACTGATAGGATTGAAGAATGCATTTCATCAGGAATGAACTCCGGTAACACTCCTCCTTAAAATATGTTTAATTCTCAGGAATAATCAGTTGCTGGTTAAGAGATTTTATTCTTTTCCACATGTTGCAGTATTTAATCGCCAGTGCTGCATTCAGAAATGTATACAGATATCATCTGTCTCTGAGGACAGGAAGGTCTTCTTCTGTCCTGCACTTAGGACAATGTACTGGTGTGTCAGTATTGGTACAGAATGGGCACAAGATACTGTACAGGCATAAATAATTAAGGAATTGCTGTAAGGGGGGAAGGACCATGTAGGAACTACCAGAGAATGAAGTGGGACTATTGCAGGGCTACACAGAACCTTTTCTGTACGGGATAAAGACCTGCAAGGTATAGGAAAGCCAAGGGAAGGACCAGGCACAACCTGTCCTACAGAGAAAAAAGAAGTCCCCGCTTTATCCCATCTCTCATATTTATTAGTATGGGGAAGAAAGACAACAACATTTGGACCCATCTCTTGTGAGGGTAAGGAAAGAAAAGTATTGCAACCTGAGGACCACTTCTGTGCACAGCTGCAAATGGGGAAGAACATAAAGTATAGTCCAAGAACCCAATCTACTGGAAGATGACAGGGCTGGAGAGGGAAGGAGAAAGAACAACTGACAATTGCTTGTGTGGCAGTGCAGGCAGCTGACACTACCTCCAGGGTCTAAAGATTTTTCCCATGGTCACCAGAGTAGCCCTGGATTTTCCCAGACTCATGTTTCAGGTCTAGTAGTTTCACTTGGCTTGAACCCGTTTTTTTGCTCCTTCACAGTAATCAACAGAGTTGCTTTGATGTAAATATTTGGATTAGTCATATAGCCAGATAGAGAGACCAGCTTCCGGCTCCCCCCTAGTCACCTTATTCTCCTCAAGGGAGAGAATGGAGGAGTTGTCCTGTTATTTTGGGCCTCGGTCAGCTGTCCTGGAGTCCAGTTCTGTGAAGGCAGCTGTTTGAGATGCCTTCATTCTTTTCTCCACCCACTTGCTTTGTTGAAAATATTCATCCTCACATTGCTGTGGTGCTCTCCTGAAAACTCGCTGAAATGCCAGGTTTCTGAATCGCATTTTTTCAACCTTTATTACTGTATTTTAGCTTGATCCTGCTCCTATTAATGTAATAAATGCTCTGAAATCCGGCATGCTGTGTTTTAGATGAAAGTGGTTAGATGCTGCCTAAGTGTTTCCAGATACCAAATGTACAGCAATGATTGTTCCTTAGAGCAATTTATTGCATCTTGGGCTTGTTTGCTTTGGAGGATGGTTGGTAAAGGAATGCAAAGGAGGGGATTGTACAATTGTCCTATGGACTGATTTAGCTATGACAGAAATGCTTTTCTTCCATTTCTATGGTGTCCAGATGCATTTAGTATACTGTGGATATGTTTTTAATATTGTATTACTCTAGTTCATCTCCAGCTGTGCTAGTTGTGCTGAGTGCAGCCAAAGTTACAGGAAAAGATTTCAAGGTCTTCCAAGGCTGATGAAAAGTACTCAGTCAGCAGAGCAAGACAACCTGGTATTCAAGGTGGCAGGTCTGTCCTTCCAGTCTTCCTGGCTCAGCAAGGGATTGCTCTTCATCTCTTAGATCAAGTTATCACTGAGAATCCCAATAGGCTGCACTTCGCTTTTGCAATGATTCATCTAGAAAGAGTCTCCTCTGAGCTGAGTGCCTCAGACTGCCTTGGTACTATGCAAAGCGCCTTTGTGTTCACTGGGTTGATTCAGTTCACACTGTAGTTTCTTTACAAAGAGTCAAAGTTACAGCAAGGGAGGCAGAGAATCCTAGGAAGGACTTATTAGTAATGCACGCTGCTTTCTGGTCAGAGGGTACTTCTGAGTCAGTTGGGAGGGCGCACTGGAAAATACAAAGGTAGCATGCAACTAAAAAAGGCATTTGACCTTTGTTATATTTTCATTAGCTTTTCTTCTGTGTCAGGAAAAATCCTCCAGTAAACTTACACTGTTGCAGCAAAAGGCATTAATTCCTTTAAAAATAAACTGTGGTATTCTAAGTAAATTCCCTAAACTGATCCTTTCAAGTAGAGGAAGCATCTTCTTTGGCCTGCCCAAGGCAATTTGTAACCTCGTGCTTCTCCTTTGGCCACTCATGGTCTAGACCATGCTATTAAATGGCTGTGCTTCAGACTTCAAGGCAGACACCAAGTTGGTTTTAGAGGTCCAGAGTTGGATTATCCTCATCTGAAAGTCCTGCCTTGGTGGCATTAAATGCCATCTTTGCTTTGTGGTACTGCCTGCAGAGGCACACGTTTTGTGATTACTAAAATCAAACAGCTTCACACCTGTGCAGCAGATGAACTGACCGATTCATTTTTATTCTAAGCAAAATCCACTAGTCTGCTGACTTGATTTTATTTGTATTTATTATGAAAAGAAAGTTTCTCCTGCTGATTTTCTTGGCTATGGAGAGGATTATCATAGGGAAGCCACTGAAACTGGCAGTTGGCGCTGTGACATCCTGGCTGTCAGCAAGACAATGGTACATTTGAAAGCACAGTGTCATGACAGAGACTTCATATTCATGTCCTCGTATCATTAGATCCAAAGAGGACTGCAGCAGGACCTCTCAGTACTCTGCATTATGTTATAATACAGGCTTTTTCTCAGTTCTCAAAGATTGGTGACCTCATCCCTGCTCTCAGGTGAGAGAAGCTCTGGGAGGCAGTATAGGTGTGGGAGGCTGAGGCCATTAAGAAAGCTGAACATAGCCCCTCACTGGGCTGGATATAATCTGGTGCAGGTGAGAATGGTTCTTTGGGCTTCTCTTACCTTCTGTGGGTGAGCAAATGATTTAATATTATGCATTAACTGAGGGGGATTTTATTTCCTCTCTACATACCTAAACCATGCTCATGCATACTCTGAACAGAAACACTGGATGGATCCTGCAGTCTTTGCTCAGGGAAACTTTCAGGGCTGTCACTTGGCTTTCTCCCAAATTGAGTATTAGGAGGTCTGCTCTTGTGCAGAGCATGTCGTGGCATGGCAGTCACTAGCTGGGTAGAATTACAGGGGCCTTCTCGCTGGCCCCATGCCAAGGCTCAGAGCTGCCCTGCATGGCAGCTGTCCTTCTGTTGGTAAGGCACAAGACCAGTCTTCTTGCCCTTGTAGCAGCAGAGGCCAGTCATTTTGGGAGGTGGTGGAGGAGGACTTGACCTCTGGGTAGCTCCGACTGCAAAGAGAAGAGCCTGTAGGGCCAGACTCGTGAGAGAAAGGGGTAGCTCTGGGGATGGGATGCTGGACACCTCTCCCCACTTCAGTAACTAAGTGCAGGAGCCCAAGAAAAAGGTCAAGTCACAACACGGCCATTGCCAGGAGAAGCAGAGAGAGCCCAAGTCCCGGCAGCCGGAGTTGCCCAATGTTGGGCACAGTGGGCACCTCAGCTCAGAGCCAGGGGTCGTGGGAGTGTCATCCATGCAGCTGGCTTGCCGTGGGGTCCTGGGTGCAAAAGCAGACTCGTAGCCTTTCCATACATCAGCACAGCATGCTGACAGCTAGAGCGAAGCAGCACTGTTCAGATGAGGAATGGCACCATCATCGGTGCTTGGCTATGGTGTTGGTAACTGGCAAATCTTAGATTAACTTTGTGATTCCTCAAATAATACTTGGAGCTTCTGGAAAAACTTGCATTCAACAGTCCCATGTGGATTCATGTCATCACAAATAATGCCATTTAAGGCTAGCATTAATCTTTCATGTATATTGTATTCTCATATATTAATCTCATGTAGCGGGGGGGGAGCTTGGGAACAAATTGATTAGGTGGCATGACTAAGGTGACTCAGGATGCCAGAGGCAGCCAGGAACAGGTTGCCTATTTCCCAGCTCTCTCTTTTAAATGAGATCTTAGAGCACTAATCACTTGTTTATTTGCTATTTCCAGGGGTATATGGCATGTAAAATATGCTATAGAAATCAGGGAAAGTATCTAGGGTGAAGCCAGTGTTAGGATATTCTCTCAGGACTTCTCAACTGTCTGTATTTTGTCTTCTTTTAGAATACATTATCAAGTTTGATTCAATTCAAGTTTGACCTGAATTTCAAAGTGATTAAAAATTACCATTTTATAAGACTACAATTTATAAGCTAGTTACCTTCTTTGTCAAAAAACATGCCACTGCAATTTAAGAACAGAAGATGTCCATGTCTTTACAGACTATTACAAAACATGGCCTGTGCAGCTGAACCTTTACATCTGCTGCTTCAATGATTGCTTTGATCTGTTAGCAAAATACTCTTTAGTGCAGTATTACTACTTTGTATTAATCTGACTTTATGATGTTCTATTAACACGTGTGTTGTGGCTATCTGTGTATCTAACGAGTCCTCTTACCAGTGTTATTAAATAATGTACAGTTTCAAAACCCAGTGAAGCAAAGTACTGCATCAATCTGAGATCGGCATCAATAGATACAGGTCTTTTGCATTAGCACCCAAGAGAAGTCTCACTTTGCTTTTGTGGTGTGGGTGATGAGGTAAGGGACACGTCATAAAAGAAGAAAAGGTTGCATGTGTCTCCCCTCTTTGAGGACCTGCTGGGTACAGCAGTGACCTGAATTACATGGTTTGTTTTAGAACAAACATATTTGCAAGAGTAGGCACAGGCATCTTTACTAATTGGGCCCCGTGTGTCCCTGTCAGGACAGCCACCTCTGCTGGGGTCCATGATCCCAGAGCATGCCAGTACTCAGGCAGCACAGGCTGCAGCTCTCTGCAGCTCTTGCCTCTGCTCTGTCTGCAGCTGGCACCACAGATCCATCAGGTGACTGAATGCTTGCATCAGCAGAACACAAATAGCTTTCATTTTGGTGTTTACGTTGTATTTTGAGTCTTATACATCCCCAGTTTATTGTTACTACATTAATAAAAAGTATGGAGCTTCCAAAAGTATTTGTTACTGAGTGGCTTAAAGAAGTATATTTGGGATAGAGACCCTTAAGTCTGAACTCTGCCAAAAACAAGGGCTTGATCTGTGCATGTTCAGTTATATTAGACAAGTTTGAGGTTACATTTTTACTTTTTTTAATGTTTTGATGCTTTCTTTTATGCACACTTGCAGTCTTCTCTGCCCCAGGGTGCTGGCACCCATCCACTGTACTGCTATCTCACTTTCCTCTCTGTAGAAATAGGGGAAATCCCATCCCTTTAAGATGACTGACTTGTGGCTGCCTTTAACTCATTCACATGCATTTCCAGGGACTGATGCAGCCCTGGTGATGATGAAGGAATGACAGAGCACGTATGCACAGGGCACGGCAGATGGGGGACTCATGTTGCTCACGTTGCTGTGACAGCAGCATGTGGCCTTCCTCTGCCCCTGTAACAGTCACCCATGAGAGCTCCTGGTCTCACCATTTAGTTACGTTCCTGTGGTTAGGAACCACTGACTTTGCCACTGAAGCACAGATCTGGGTGTTGGGGAATACGGAAAATCTAGAAGAGGTGGCCAAAAACTGCCGGAGAGAGAGAGAGAGAGATGAGGAAGCTCCTCAGAACCACGTCCTCGCTGCCGGACGGGGGCCAGTGGGGGCCAGGGCAGTGTCCTGGGGGCTGCCTCACTGGAGGGGAGCAGCTGCTCAGCAGGAATGACAGGGGAAGAGGATAACTCCTCCTGTGGTAGGATGGTGAATCAGTTGGGAATAGAGGAATTAGTCTTCTGCCTGTGAGAGAGACTCAGAAAGAAGGGGAAAGAAGAGGAAGGCTGGGTGGGGAATACCCACCCCACAAGGTAGGAAAAAGAAATGGGATTAGTAAGCAGGAGTGAGTCCTCACAGTGATTACAACACCCACATTCATGGTAAGTGGATAATATGCTAAACAACCTTTGTAAGTCTGCTAAGCAATGTTGGGAACAAACAACTGAATAAAAGCATGTTTCAGACCATAACCTGCCCTTTTATTTTCACGGATTAGGAAACAGCAGACTACTAAAGTAAAGCTGTAAGTGAAATAAGGTAGTGTTTAAAAATTAAGCCTCAGCAAACCCAGTAACTTGTTGCATAATTAAAAGAATTTTTCCTTGTAGTTTCAGACAAGAAAATCCCTAGCAAATCAAGTAAGAAGAAAACTATATTCCATATTTCTTTTTCTACATATTTCATTCCACCTTTTTTTTTTGTTTGTTTCATTTTGGATTATTGTATTTTAGTCATTATATACACATTCTCTGAGCTTCCACAGCTCTCACTAGTTTCTTCCAGGAGAGCCCTAAGGAAATACATTTCCAGCTTATTCCCTCCGCCTCCCCTGACACACACTTTCTGCAAAAATATAAGCTCAGGGTGAATACTTCAATTTACAGAAAGTAAAAGGCACTCAGCAAACATGTTACTTACACGTGGTCTTTTCCATTCGAACTTGATGGGGATTTTCTGGCTATAGAAGAGGGAGGACTCATTTGGTGGGAAATCAGGATCTTCATAGAGAATGTTTTTCTCCAGGCACTTCTTGTGAAGCTCTTCATAGGTCTTCTCCTTTACTCTGATGATGGGCTGGTTGCGACTTATAATGGCAGAATAAATCCCCCCTGTGCCCCCACCCGCACCTTCGGTTGTAGTGCTAATAGTAGCATTGGGAACTGACCCAGCAGCGGTCTGCTGAGCCACAGCTGCATTTATGGCGGACGGCATGGGATTCAGGCTTAAAGCAAATGTTGAAAGAAAGCAAAATCTTGCAAAGTGGCAGGAAATTTGAGAAAAGAGGAAGTTGCTGTGTAAACCGCGTTTTCTATCCGTTGAGTCTCCTAGTCAAATTTGCAAGCAACAGAATTCCATGTGGTTGAACACGTTGTGCATCCTCTCAAAGGGCAGTATTTTGTCATAAGAAATAGGAATTTATTCCTTGAGGTGGAACAAGATGATCTGTTGGTTAACTCCTGTGCCCGAGTTGTAGCATCTACAGCATGTGCGTATGCCTGCCCTGTGCGTATGAGCATCCAGAAGTGACAAGCTTTAACCCACAAAATCTAAAAATAACTACAGGCAAAGAGTGAGAGAGAGGGAAAATGAGAAGGAGGGGTTAGTGAGATGGTGTCAGCCTTCTGTGCAGCTTGAGCCAAGGCCAGGCATGCTCCTGGGACAGGCTCTGTGAACAGGCTGACTCCTGGTGCAAGCAGCTCATCTCTTCCTTAAGTAGAGAGACCAGTGAAACTGGAAGCTAAACTCCTGCTGCTTTGGGAATGTACTTATGTAGTGCTGCCAGCCAATAAACTAGTCCTGACACTCCTGAAGGAACTGTTGTGCTCAACTTGTTTATACCCTTTGCTGCAGAAAAGATAGAGATTTTTACTAGTAGAGAGGATTATTTGAAGACACAAGACACGTTCCTAATGGTGAAAAAAGTATTAATTTGATGCTACTGAGGTAAGGTTGACACCTGCCAGCTAGGTTTGGCTCCTCTAGACAGCAGCTTGCCAGCACGAAGATTCACCTGGTGATAGCTACCTCTCATGTAAAAGGTACCTTTTCATATACGGATAAAAAAGTTTATAAGGGGCCCAGTGTGGAAACTGGGATTTTCTCTCTGTGTTAGGATGTAGTTTTATAGCAGACATCTAACTTTGCACATTTATTTTGTCACACAACTGTGAGATAAGGGACAAATTCACAGTCTCTGTGAAATAAAATCTAAACATGTTGCTCTTCTCTATAACCCAGTTCTTTAAAAGGTGACATTGTTTTGTGTCAAGAAAAGCCCCCTAACACCTTGATTTTTCTGTGATTGGGAAATCTTAAATTACATAATGACATCAGTGTTATTTTTGCCTAATGACACTAGCCTCTGGACTCTGGCTCATATACACATTGATGACCTTCTGCCCTAGCACTATGGTGTTCTCCAAAGCACTGATTCTTTTTTCTTTCTCAGCCATTTGTTTGGTCTACACATTTCATACAAACGGTACAACGGACAATCTCTACAGATCATTAAAAAAATTCCACTGAGAACTTTTAAAAAAGGTAATATAGTTGGCAAGCTTGACTAACCTCTAGGAGTGTTAATCTTCAGTCTTCTAATGGTGGCCTAAATCCTTTTCTTTTTATCATGAACACAAGCCTTCTTGCACCAACAAGGCAATTGGAAAGGACAGATTCAAGTGTTTGTGGAAATAGGAATGCAATTGCTTCAGGGGGGGTTGTCTAGATGCAGAATTGATGACTTCCTCGTTACATTTAGATGCAAGGATTGCAGGTCTCATATTTGACATTACTTTGCAGGACAGCTTGGCAGAGCCACCTGTCACTCTTTCCAGGATATTTCAAGAGCAATGCAAGTAGTGAGATGCAAGGGCCTCTCACTGCACAGCCTCAGCAAAAGTGCTCATATCGGACCCCGTGCATATGTTCTTTCATATTCTCTATTCCTGCCCAATACAAAAATTAATCTATTACATCTTGTACACAGAGTTTTGTTTTGGGAAGAATGTCAGTAGTACAGGTGTGATATTTATCAAACTCCTTGTGGGCTGCTGGGGAGGACCAAGTGAAGCATTAGCTGTGTTTTTCTTTTATCTTGGGATGGTCAGCACGTGTCAGGGTATGACCTATTGCTATAGCTAACAGTCTAGCTAGTGCCTGCATAGGGAATGTCAGGTGGGCACGTACTTCTCATAAGGCCATGTTGCTGTTTAGGGATGTTCAGGAGTATTTTGTGGTTATACTTCAAAAAACAGTTTCTCCTTTTCTTATTTCTACTGGACAGATGGTTTTGCTATGTAGGTTTTTTTGTGACAAACAGCGGTTGCTAGTAACTAAAGACAAATTGTGTCTTTAAAGAAATACAATTTTCCATAGAGAAGAATAGATGTGCTAACTGCTACAAACAACAAAATAAACCCTTGATTAGGAATGAAACCACTTTTTTTGTGATGGAATTTCTTGCAAACAGAAGTACCTCAACAGCTGACCTGTTCAGACAGAGCAAAAATGAAATACGTGGATGATAATCTATTTAATTTTTATGAAATTTTATCTCCCGTTGAATTGAATTCAATTACTATTTTTTGTAAAGATATACTATAAATCTATTTCTTCATTTATGGCATAAATATATGGGAAAGTATGTGAGTTGCTACAAATATCAACATAAATGATATTCTTTGAAATTTCTTTCCTCAGACACAGACACAACTGCTAAATTTTTCAGCAACTAATTCCTATCAAAATCCACAGAAATTAGGCACTTCATACCACTGAAAATTTGACCCATGAGTACTTACTATAGTGTAGATATACTGAGGGCCAGAGTATAAAAGCTATTAATTCACTTGAATCAGGTACCCTTGGAAGAATACTCAATAGTGATCCTCAACAGTAGAAAGAGGGTTGAAAGGAATAAGGCACATAACTTGCTTGTTACTTTATTTCACTTACTTTCCAACTTCAGAAATACCAGTTAAAACATTTCATTAAAGTGCTCCAGACAATAATTATATCCTTTCAGAAGTGTTGCTATGCTTAAACATAAGAAGCAATCATTAATTAAAGCTTAGAAGCTGATAGAAAAATAGGGTCTGTCTCAAAAATAGCATCTGTCTCTTCTCACAATTGTAAAAGATCTACTTGCTACTGTCCTACCTGGATTAACCCATCTGCATTAAGCACAGCAGTATTTAGGCTGCCAGTTCCTGGGGTGGAGGCTCACACTGCCTGCTTGAAGGAGCTGACAAACAGCTCTCCAGGATGAAAAAGAAGGAACCTAAGGGTCTGGTGGGGAACAAACTGCACTTAGTAGTCAAGAGCGGAGTGGCCACAGTTTGCTCTTACACTTGCTGTTCCCAGAAATCTGCCCTGCAAGGGACAAACAGCAGCAGGTGGGAATGACCAACCACACACAGAGAGGGCTTAGGAAGAAGCATAGGGAACAACGTACACATGGACTGTTAGATTATCTTTAGTTGGCAAAAATGGTGATCATCCTTCTATGTTTCCTAAGAGTTAATTTACTGAATTATTTATTAAATACTTTTTTATCTTGCTAAAAGAAATTAAGTCAATTTTGCCCTTCTATATCCACAAACTGCAACTGATGGCTTGTTCAGGTTTGACTCAAAGCAGAACTGGTTTTAAAATAATACAGTTTCCAGTATAGCAAATGGAAAGGGCAAACAACCTGAGCCGTGGAGCAACGGTAGCCTGTGAAAAGAGATGCCTGATACAGAAAGGGCTGTGGGAATAGGCAGGATGTAGGCGATGTGGGACTCAGGATGTCTCCTCATTTTGAACAGGAATAAAAGCATCAGGACACACCAGTTCTGCTGGCAGAGATGGTGGGAAAAGGAGGCAAGGGAACATTAGGGTGAATTGTAAAAGAATGGGGGAATAAACATAAAATGGGGTGGCTAAATGCAGAATTAATCCCATCAAAATTAAAAATTTCCTTCATAAATACCAAGCTCAAATCTTAGCCAGATCCTAAAAACGGATCAAGAAATTACTAAAATATGTGTAAAGGAAGCCAAACCTTGGCAAGAGATGGAAGATGTGGAGAAGAGCTCTCCATAAGCAGAGTTGCTTCACTGGGCTGGCTTTAACCAATGACATTCAATGCTTGAAAAACGCTAATTCTTTTATAACAAAAGACTTTTTCTTAAAGTAGTACTTGCAGAGAGGAGACCAGTAACATGGAAGATGTTTCCATGTGAGTCTAGCTGCTACTCTAAGCCAGTATTGCACTTAAGAAAATGCACAACAGTAGACCTGTGCCTTTTCAAAATCCACATGCCAGCTTCAAAGCCAGCTGTTGGAGAGACTTCTGCACTCCCCCACACTACTGTCTTTTACTATCATGCAGCTGACTGGCACAACCTACTCAAACTTCACCTTCAGTGACTAGACTGTTTGGCTAGCCTGCTCTTTACTTTCCTGTACAGACTGCCTAATGTTGCATTGTTGTAACGATGGGAAGAGGAAGTGTCTGTAATCACACTGGGTGGCTCCTTCTGTCTTTGTTTTCACAAGGAAGCTTACAGGCAGAACTCTAATGAGAACCTCTGTGTCTGGCATATCTACTCATGCTGCTTGGCGAACTGCCCCAGATCTGTTCTTCTCAAGTGCTCCAGTCTCATAATAGTGGGATTTCCAAATACTTATATTTAACTCCACACTAACAAGCCACATTCTCACCCCACCAATTTATAATTTTTTTGCTGCAAGTGAGGGCAGAATTCAATCTTAATGACTAACTGAAGCTATCCTGGAGCAGATAATATTTAGCTTTTTTCCCTGAAGATGCAATCCTAGTGCTATTACTTTTGCCGAATAGAAGAGCTATCCAAGTTTAAATTAGTGCTTTAAAAGAAAAATTTTAGGAAATGTTAGTCCGGGGGTGTGGGTGGGAAACACATTCTTTGATTTGATTGGATTCAAGTGAACATTTTAAGTCTTCACAACTTATTTCCCCTCAACCTTTCAGTGAATTCTCTGAAGAAGTTGCGTCTCCTTTCAGCTGATGCAAATCTCCCAGTCAGCATCAACACTCAGGGCTAAATTTTCCAGCGTCAGCACAGAGGTCTTCATATCATATGTGAACACCACTTCTTTTTCTTTCCCATCTGAAGAGGACAAGAGAGTTTACTACATGATTTAAGACAAACCCTTATGAAACACCGTTACACATGACTCCCTTCAGTTTTTAATTCAGACTGTCCCTGCCACTCGTGGAAAGGACTGATTAAAAAAGAAATAGTAGCTAAATCTGCCCAGTAAACACACAAGAAGGCAGCAGAATTGGAAAAACTATTTCTTTTTTTCTGACCTATCAAACCATGGAATTAGTCAAGGATTTTTCTGGGGGGAAAAAAAAAAAAAATCTTGTTTCAGCACAGGTTTTCCTCCAAAAGTTCTGAAGATTGACAGGTGGAGGCAGAAAGTCCATGTCCACATGATTCCCAAAGTGAAGGGATGTGCTTGGAAAGCAGCCAGAAATGATAAACCCTTTCTGTAGATATTACCACCTACCCATATGGGATCCCTCACAACTTCTAGAGATCCCCACATAATCAGGAACTCCAGACACTTTTGAATGAGTAAGAAGAATAGAAAAGTAATTCTGGTCTTGTCTGCAAGTTTCCTGTTCTAGACTAGGCAGGCTTACAGATCTGAGCAAATGGTCAGCCCCTCATTTGAAATGCTACCTCTGTGCAGGACAAAGTTACCTAAACTTGTTAATTCTGAACCACTTTTACTCATGTATCTGTTGCCTTACAAAGCAAATGCTCTTCAGTTCTGCATGTAATATTAGTGGCTGTTGGTTCCTTTCACTGAATTCTGTCCTTGATATCAAAGACAGTAGCAAAGAAAACTAAACAAAGATGCTTCCTATGCTGTAACACTTCCCTTGTAGAGCTGTCAGTTTGCCACCTCTAGTGAACCATCGCAGAGCAACAGGATTTCAGAAAATTGTAGTAAAACAGAAGCCAGTGCATTACCCTTGGAACAGGCTGTCACAGAAGTGGGCTGCTGTCCAAATCCCAGAACTATCACCCGTTCAATCACACATGTGGTGTGGTATTGTCCACTTTCATCGGTGCAGCTGAAAAAAGAAAATTATTTCATAGACATCAGTTTCTGTCCATCAGTAGTTCAGCACTGTACAGAGAAAGTACTACTTCAGTCTCACCCTGAAAGTTCCCTACACTGGTTTCCTTTCCTCTATTTACCCTTCTTCTGAAACAAGTAAAACTTTCTCCTGTTATCAGCTAATTTTTCACTGCATAGCAGATTTCACGAAGTTAAAAGAAAAAAGGTTGAGAAGCTCTTTTGTAGCAAAAAGCATGGCTTTGACAATCAGAAAAGTTCTGGATTTTTGCCAAATGGTAGTAAAAACTCCTAAGTGTAAATGTAAAGGTAATTTTTACATTTTTTAAGTAAGACATTTCAATTTGAGGCATAACTGCCTTTCATTTTGTTAAATGTTTAATTTTTATTAAAAAGCTCTAAAAAAAAAAAATCAAAATGAAACTTTCCAGAGTGAACAGATCATATAATTTATCTCAAAATGACTTTTTCCCAACTTCCAGATTTGCTCGCAATATGGCAACATTTTTCTTTCCTATCCTGCATTTCTAAGCTTTTTGGATTTTGTATCCCAGTTAAAGAGATTTGAAGCATACTTTTAACTATGTTATCCAAGCTAGTCTACAGTTTTGCTCTGTCTTAAATTTTGTAGTTTTAGGACCATGTCCTGCATATTTTTGAAGCTTGAAGGAATAAAGAAATGTCTGTAAAATCACTGTTTATGCACTGTAAAGCCCCATGGGCAACATACCTTAAAAGTAAAAATGTCATAGTGACATATTTAGCATCTCTTTCCTTACAAGCAGCTATGGATATTTTTGTCTTTCATGTTGTTTCACTCAGCCTTTACAGGTTGTGTTCCCTCATGCTTGTATATTTTATCATGCTAATATATATGGTGCATTTGTTGATGACATTTGGAGACTACATATAATGGTGTCCGTTTGTGATACCCACACAGAATCATGAATATCTCAAGTTGCAAGGAACCCATAAGGACCAAGTCCAACTCCCTACTCCTCGTAGAAATATCTAAAAGTAAATCATATGACTAATAGCATCATTCAGATGCTTCCTGAGCTCTGACAGGCTTGGTGCTGTGACCACTTCCTTGGGAAGCATGGCCCAGTGACTGACCACCCTCTCAGTAAAGAAGATCTTAGAAAAATACATCTTAGAAAATACACTCCAGGTGTTGCCTATTTGAAAATGTCCCAGTTTATCTTTCTTTGTCTTTTTGATAGGCTTTACTCTTGCTGATAACTTACTCTGTATTTTAGTAAAACTA